AAGAATCTGTACGTCATAGAAAAAAATATTTTAAATAAAAATACAACTCTTATAACCGAAAATCGTATTTTTCAAGTTGTGCAAGTTGATCTTGTCACATATGTCATTCTAATTTCTGGGCAACGTTACCAGTTCAACGAAAATATTGTATCAAATCAGCTAAAAGGAGTTCTATGCAATACACATTATATACCCTACGTTTAAAGATCCCTTAAACATTTTGGGCATTGACTCAACCCTCTCTCTAGTTATTAAATTTATTAGATACGATTTTTTGTTGCTAATGATAATAATACCTATATAAAAACTTAAAACATTTTGAACGTTCTTTTTTTATTTATATTTAGTGCAATTCCGTTATCTGTGATGGCAACAACGAAATGATTCACGAACCATTGTGTCAAGTCTGAACACAGGTTTACATAGAGGAAAAAGTGTACCAGTTTTATATGACGGGAAACTGTACATGATTCACATGTTCGATTTTTTTTTTGAAATTACTGTTTATTTGATACTGCTTTCTCTTATTATTTACTGCACTTTCATCTACCTTCAAATGTTAAGGTGCTTGAGAAATTTGAATACTACTGGAGCCGGCTTTCTGTTTCACATATTCTGCTGGAAGTTTTGTTTTCTTTGTTATTTCTTTATATACAATTTACGAAATATTTTCTGCTAAATACCTAGGCCACCTTCGGCTACCAGCTCTCACAGTACGTTTGGGTGCTATTTGATCGACTATATAAACACCAAATTTTGTTGCGTTATACAAAGCAATCGTTTCAGATAGTTCTTTAGCATCCTTGCCAATATTACGTTGTACATGCATTGGACTCAAAATCATTACATTTTTTGACGGCTTTTCTTGGTAAATGATATTAAGGGTTGTGTCGTTGTCCGCCCTTAAAATAAACGACTCATAACGAGGGGTTCGAATCGTTTGGCATAAAAAAACAATCTCTTTGCTTTAATGACGTATCGTACCAACGATACTAGTATTTTGGTCTTTCAACTTTTTTGCTGATAGCAAAGGTGTAAAAAAGTTGTCGGTAGTGATATTTCTCCCTTTTTTTACAAATACCGGAAGTATTTTTAGAATAACGTGTTCTGATAGTGACTGAGTTTTCTGTTCGTAAGTACTTGCTATCAACGACCACCAAGAGCCAAAATTTTATGCCAAATTTAGCAGGCTTTTTTGCAATGTACTAAAATAATGGAAAGTGAGTTTTATAAGGAAATAGCTACTCGTCGCCGGTCAAGTTTGCACCAGGTATATAGCAGATTTGTCAGTTTTCACAAAATTTGTTCCAATCTAATGCTAACGCAAACTTATCTGTGGTAAATTGCAAGGTTTGATTTTTCTTAAGTGAAATCGTAGATGCTCCATTATCTCCTTGAACCTATTCCTGCTTATAGTTTGTTTGAAAATAGGTGGTATCTATACATTGGACTTCAAGAGGTCAATATCTAAGTGAGTCATAGTATAGGCATCACGAGCATAAAGCAAAGCAATAAATGCTTTTAGTTCTAAAAAAGAAATGCTCCATGTTTCATTAGTTGATTGTTGGCAGGCTTCAGTCTCTGGGCAGGTCCTTATGTGACGTAGCAATTAACAATTAATCGTTAAAACGTTAGCAGATTATCTTCTTGAAAATATTGTTTTGTAAAAGCTGTTGGACCCGTAGATTTTCTTAGAACATTTTGTCGATTGCGACCTCCTACTCCGCTGAAATCAATACAAGTCTACTCTGTTCCTTCACTGAAAATAAGGAGATTACCGGAAGTAAGAACTGGATTGTATGAAGTAGATCGTATAATTATTTGTTGATTAGAACTATGTTTAGTGTTTAGTTAATAATGCAGTGGATGTGGTTTGGATTCGGTAATTCAAGCAAATATTTATTTGACTCTGATTCACTCGACGAAGAGCTCAATTTTTCCGGCATAAAATCAGTATCTCGAAGGGAATCATCATGGAAAACCGCGCCATTATCATTATCACTATCTTTACCTAATATTTTCTTGAAAATTTAATAATTGTTGTAGCTTTTTCGCCCTCAAAAAGTCAAAAATCTTTCGCCGTCAAAAATCTACGCGGACTCATATTGAAATACAAATGTAATTCAAACAAAACAAAGCTATTTGGTTCGCACAGTGATAAAGCCGAATTTGGAATGAAACAAATATGCAAAATCATGCTAACCTACTGGAATAATAAACTACTATTTGAGTTACCAGAAATTGTTTCAGGGACGTGAGAAAACGTATTAGAGATTTATTGAAGAGGTGTTTTATATCGTCTTTTAATAAAAGCACCTTTATTTTGACATATACGCATACCCAGTTTTGCTTCCTCTATTTTTGTTGTTTAATAAAATACAGGACGCCTATATTTTAGTTAAATACAGGCCATAGAACTTTTATTTAAAGATCCCATATTTTAACGTCTATCTATCTATCTAAGGATTTTTACAGTTGTCGCCGCCTTCCTTCTTTCAGCCAACGTCTCCAGTCCTTTCTGTTCTGCCATCCTCCATCTCTACGGTCTCGTCTTTTCATTGTTCTTCTTACATGTCCATACCAAATTAAACGTTCTTCTTCGATGTAGCTGAGTATGTCTTGTTCTACTGCCATTCTTCGTTTTGTCTCCTCATTTCTAATGCGATCTATTTTTGTCACTCTACAGCTTCTTCTCATGAACTCCATTTCAGTTGCTGTGATTTTGGACCTGTTTCGTTTATTTATTACCCAATTCTCTGCTTCATAGGTCATTATACTGCGTACCAAGGTGTTATAAATTCTCTTCTTTGTATTTCTGGTAATCTGTCTATCCCACAGTACCCCGTTCATTTGTTTAATACATGTTCTTGTCTGTGCTAATCTGCTAGTTATGTCTTGCTTGGTGGTTTCATTTTTTGAGAGTATGAATACTAAATATTTGAATTTTTCAGTGCCGTTAATTTCCCTATCATCGTCCATTTCCAAGTTTCTCACTGGTTCTTGATCTGTTGTTAAATATTCGATCTTTTCTAGGTTTATTTCCAGTCCATTTTTTATGTATTTCTTTTCTAATTTTCGGACCATATAGCACAGATCTTCTTCATCTTGAGCCGTTACCACTTGGTCATCTGCAAAGCTTGTGTACAAGAAGTTGTCCCAGATTGGTATTCCGATCCCTTCACATTTCCTTTTCCATGGTTTTAATACTTGTTTGAGGAATATCTTGAAACAGTGTCGGAGATGTAGAGCATCCCTGCAATAAGCCTTTTGTGATCTTAAATTCACTGGAGTATTTATTGCCGGTTTTAACTCTTACTTTGTTTTTGTTGTAAAGGTTTTTAACGGATTCTATTAACCTGTAAGTTATTCCGATTTCCTTCATCGTGTTCCGTAGTTATTTTCTGGGAACTATGTCATATGTCTTTTTTAAATCTATGAATGCCATGTGTACTGGTCTATTTTTTGCCATTTTTTTTAGGAAAACTCTCAGTTTTGGAAAACATCTTTACTGATGTCAATCAATAGTTCGACGCTGTATTGTCGATATATTCTTGGATGATCTCATTAAAATGTCGCCCATGCAGAGGTTTACTTATCCAGGTGCGCATTTTTTTCTTGCTAATTTAGGTGGCTTATGCGCATTTCTTGTTCCCTTAGTTTAAGCGGTGTTGTATCATCTATTGCACAAATTGCTCGATGTAAAGTAGATGTTTCAGTCTGAACCTGAAAATAAGTTCCTAAATTAGCAACTTCTTTATCCAGTTTCTCACTTATGTTCATAAGTCCTTTTCCCCCTTGATACCGCGGTAATATTGTTCTCTCTACTGCACTGTGTCGATGGTGTTTTTGCGCCTTTGTGAGAAGTGTTATTACTTTTCTCTAAAGATCCTCTAGGTATATTCGTTTTTGACTAATTATTAATACCAAATGAGTAGCTCAGCGCGGAACAGGCGTACGTATTTAATGCCTTAAACAAATTTTTACTATTAAGATATGATCGATTTAGTTGTCTTACCTCTTTGTACGAACTTTGAAGTTAGTTCAACTCTTATTTGCTTATACCATATATATGCAAACCTCCGGGCTGTACCTTTCCTCTAACTATATTTAGTATACGGCACTTCTAGCCCAAAATGGATACTAATATCATTTGGGAAATTTTCTACAATTTTTAGCATCTGATCTAAGTGGTTTTGAGTGAAAGCAAATAATTTTAAAACATCCATATACAACAGATGTTTAAGCTTCACCACAACAGTATTCTTATTTTTGATGCTAAAACCTGAGTCAGTGGAGTGATTGATTATTTGATGGAAATCGAATTAATTATTGAAAACTTGATTATTTTTAATAATATTATTATTTTTAATTGGTATATCTTTATAATTATTGTTTTACGTTATAACGATAACATTCATATTAAACAACTCTATTTTTTCATCATTTGCGCCAGCTAAACTGGCTATATCTAATAGTTTAAAGAGGCGTATTATGGATTAGAGTATTTTTAAAATAACAATTTATTTAAATTCGACGGGTTACTCTTTTCCCTTTCCTCCGATAATCTTATAGGCATTTATAAGCTATGTTTATATTATAGAAAAATATTTATGTCATGTCAAAATAAAATATTTCTTTAACATGTTAGCAATAACTCCCTTTTAGACATAAAGAATTGTATCTAAAAGATTCTGTAGTAAAGGCGGCTGTCATCTTATGGTGTATAAAGAATCAAAACTTTCAAATTAAAATTCAATAAATATTGAATGAAAAAACTTGAATAACATGGGAAAAATATATTTCCATGTTATTAGCCGCTACCGCCAAATTGACGGCAGTGGCTCTTCTGATGCTAATCACATTTCGATCACAGATACAAGTATATTTAATATATTTTTATTTTTAAACTGCGCTAATAAAAAATTTTCATACATATTAAATAGTTAAAAAAATAAAAGTAGGATAATTTAAAAAGGAATATTTACCAACCACTGACTTACCTTTTTTGTTTCGTATGGATTGTTTACAATAAATATTTTAACTTCTCCTTCAGCCATAATTGGTGACATAGATTTAAAAAATACAAATATACTGGTACTTTCTGAAGGACATAAACTAATATTTACAGAAGAGATACTTAATTGTTTGTCTAAAAATATAAACATTTATTTTAGTAGCAACAATAATTTTTTTACAGAACAATATTATTTTGAACTTAAATTTTTTAAAAGGTTTTACTTAAAAATATCTTCTTTCAGACCCTAAGTATAAACCATTTTGTTGTTAATTTAACTTACCAATTCCATGATTCCTAAGATCTGGTACTTCATCAGTGTGCATTATAAAAAAAGGAGATTCATTATTTTCGATAGATAAACTAATAATAATTGTACATGAAATCATTCCTGAATTTTTTATGATAACTTTTTTGAACTGCCATTCTTCGGGATAAGTAGGGGGAAATATAATTTTATGTACATGATCTTCTGCTTCTATATTAGTTATTTGAACCTGGGGAATACAACTTTTTCCAGATAGACCCAAAACAAAGAAATTCGTATTGCGACCATTATATCTGATTTCCAATTTACCTTCAAACATCTGAAAATAAAATAGCAATGTAAAAGCTAGCACCTAGGATAAATTCATCGTCACATTAATTATTTAAAAAGAGATACCGAAATTACTAACAACATAAACTGCAAAAACATAAAAAAAAACAATTGGATGACTGTTGAAAGCCTAAACTTGTAGAAGAAAGAACATAAGTTATAATAGGTACACAAACTTTAGCATATTAATATACATATTTAAACAATATAAATAAATGCATAAAACTTCTATTTAAAACAGACAAAAATAATTGCAATAAAAACCTATAACTAGAAGTACACTTGGACCGACAATGGTCCAGATCATTGGTAAAATATTTAGCTAAAGAATTCAAATCGCAAAAATAGATCAAAGGCAGTATTGGAAATACCATAAGAAAGTCTTAACACAGCTAGGCGAAAACAATGTTAAAATAAGCTGTTCTTGCAATATTACAAAGAGTGCCACACATTTTAAAATCCGCAATTTAGGTGGCGATAAATAAACTAAGGATGACAAAGGCATAGGGAGAAGGCAGATTAATGGCTGAAACACTTAAAAAAAGGAATATGGGGATTCAAGTAATGGTTAGAAGTTGTAACAACACTGTAATAGTGACAAATAACCGAATGACTATTTGTAGTGTCTCTCCATAATCGGAAACAAAAAATTGTAAAATGTTTTATGTATTTAATATAGGTACACCCCTAAACTTATCAAAGCTAAGGTGTGACGTAATCGTGCCGATGGCTGTAGGGTTACAGGGTTATGTGTGGTCGTAAACGATCCCCCTGGGGAGCTATTTTCTTGTGGCATTTTAAATTAATTACTATTTAACTGGGAATAAGCCACAATTAAAGATAAAATACGTTTATTGACGTTTCAATTTCCACTTCGGAAATCGTTCTCAAATATTTCCGAAGTGGAAATTGAAACGTCAATAAACGTATTTTTATCTTTAATTGTGGCTTATTCCCAGTTAAATAGTTATTAACATTAATGTACAACAAAAAAAACTAAAAACCAAAAGCCTGGACCAAAACATTTACTAACTAATGCCTCAGCTGTGAAATGGGCAGCAATGTTCATCTCCAATCTTGGCTCAACCGGGGGCTGGACCAAAACGTTCACTCTCAGCCTGCAGCCGAAGTTAAGGATGGACAGCAATTTTTATCTCAAATTTCGGTCTAAGCGGAGAATTAACAAGGACAACCTCAGAAAAATCGGCCAAAGCGCCGCTGAATTTGTGGCGCCGAGGCAAAAAGAAGGAGGAAAGCCAGAGAGGCAGTGTGAAATGCGCCTATGGGAGCAGCTCATTCCTCTCCAGTCAAAACAATGGTGAAGGTGCCCACATCAGATGCTTACAACGGTTCCACCTCCAAAAGAGGACAGGGATCGAAAGTACCCGGTGTGAAGTACCTTCACCCAAGTCCATCCACGGAGGGCACGCTACAGAAGCATAAGAAGTCACGCAGTGGTGGAAACGATGTTGAACCTTTCCAAAGCTTCTCGGAATCCGCCTTAAGATTTATTTAGGTCGCTATTATAGATAAGGTAAATCCGTATGGAAAGGTTACTGCCGTCCGGGCAAACCTTATTAAACGCAGCCTGATCAAGGAACTAGACGGAACAATCTTGTTCACCTCCAGCAGCCAGGTATTGGCGTCCAATCGTGGACTTGCTAAGGTGAGATTATCAGAGTAGTCTGTGATGACAATGGAGCGCTTGCATGGCTTAAAAAGGTTACAGCTGACCTCAAACCCTGTGAGGAGACATAACTAGCTGTTATCAGTGAGCATAAGCTCCCCAAGTTTACCAGAGTCCCTCAATAGATCCCGGAGGATGTTACCAGCACCTTAAATGACTCAGAAAGAATGTTGCGGAGGATAACGGCGCAAAATCCAGACACGGCAGTTGAGAGATGGTGCACCTTCCACCATAAGGTATAAAAGGATCCTAAAAAATACCTGTTCATCTTCGAAATCGGAAAAGAGAAACTATCAGTTCTTAGGAAAAAGGCAATGAGGCTGAGCTACATGTTCACCTCATTGACTCTAAAATCAAGCACCAAAGAAGGACACCTCCTTGGAACCAGAAACTTCAGACACTCGGCAGCCGACGACGGATGTTGAGATTGACATACTCCTGGTCCCACATCAGGAAGAAGACCATCTGACGATGGTCGACGAACTCTGTAGAGAAGGCGCAGAGAAGGAAATGGACACTTAAAAGAATCGGAACGACACCTAAGCTATGACTGAAAAACCAGTCCGGGTGACCTTCTAGTCTGTTCGAAGGAAATCCCGGGAATTCTAGTCTAAGGGTTGATTAGTATAAATAGAAATTTTATTGTAAACAGTTTTCAGTCCGAAATAAATATTGTAAATAAATAATATAAATTAAAGTAGTTGTGTTCTAGTTTGTAGTGATAAGTGTAAAACTGTAATAAATGTATAAAGATTCAACTAAACTGTTAAAGTGTTATAAATGTAGAACCTTTGATAATAAATAAAGACAATAAATTAGATAAATAAAAAACAGTTCAATATTATATATTACTAAAAAAAATAATATGTGATAATCTTCTATACGATGTATTTAAAACTTACGTTTATTGAATCTGGTTTAAAAGTGACAGTAATAGGAGATACACTATAAGCCTCAATTCTTGCAACCAGTGGACTAACTCCAAAACATTTGCCGTCTACGACTTTTAAGGTAGTTTGTGCAGCAACTTTTCCGATATTATGGAGATAGATCTTCGCTGTTTGGACCGTATTTACACATACGTTATCGAAGTTTAACGTATTTTTACTTATATTGTAATAACTGTATGTACCAATCTAAAAATGAAATAATTAAAATATGAGTATATTTTTTACAAAAAACAAAACACAAAATATACTAAAAAGTATATTTTCATAAAATTATTGATTTTTGATATTGTTGACTAATCTTTTTATGCCATATTTATGCATATCACTGATTTGTTGGTCATGTGTAATTATTTTGTCCTGAATGGTGAGAGCTGGAATTTTGAATGATGTGTAATGTCGTTTCTTTCTCTTTATTTTTGACTATACTTGAGTCGATGGGGTATCTTTGATAATAGAGCTGGTAAAATGATTCCATGAATTTTGTTTACTATTTTTTATTATGCGTTTTGTTTTTTTGAGCCTTTTGAAATCTATTATCTACCAGAGTGCGAGATTTTCGGAATCTGTTTAAAGCTCGTTTGCTTTCTTGAATTGCTGTTTTGCAGGGGTCATTCCACCAAGGAACGTGTTTTTTATTGGGTTATTTTGTATTTGCCTTTTGTTGTATTGGGTTGTTTTAAAGTGGTGGACAAATTCACATACTTAGGTGCCCTTATCACTAAGGAGAACGTCACGAGGGAATAAATCAAGCGAAGACTAGTCTTAGCAACTAAATGCTATTTTGGATTGAGTAGACATATAAGAAGCAGAAAATTAAGTCAAAAAACAAAAATAACCATATACAAAACCCTTATACAACCAGTGTTGACATATGGATTGGAGACATGGACCATCTAGCAGAAGAAAACCTCCTGCTTATATTTAAACGAAAGGTCCTGAGAAGAATATTCGGTGGCATCTGTGAAAATGGTGTTTGGAGAAGGAGGTACAACTACGAGATATATCACAGATATGAATATATATTTGGTGCTAAAGACGTAATATCTCTTATAAAAATAGAAAGACTAAGATGGGCAGGACATCTGGCAAAATCACAGCAGAACAATTATCAAGCTAGAAGTAGGGGTAGGCCAAAACTCAGATGGAGAAATGGTGTAGATGAGGATAGTAGAAAAATAGGAGCAGAAAACTGGCAACAATTGGGAATGGATAGAACTGACTGACGTAATAGACTTGGAAAGGTCGAGGCATTTTTATAGGGCTGTAGCACCAATGATGATGATGATTTTGTATTTGCCTATACATCTTCTGCGGACGAATCTATGCAATGATTTAGTTGTTTTATGTCTTCGTCTATGTTATTTTGATATTTGAGTACATCTGTGCATACTTTTACAGTTAGTTTAAAGAGTACCAATTCGCATCTGAGATTTTCTATCTCGTTTTTGTATATTTCGATTTGACTGCATTGTTAGTAATGATAATGGTAAAATGATTGCTATCGAATAAGCTGTCTAGAGTATGCCAAGTTAGTAACGGGTGTATTTTGGGATCACATAAGCTTAAGTCTATTAATGAGAAGCTTCTTGACTGAATATGAAAGTTTGAACTATTTCCTGTATTTAATAAGTTAATATACAAAATTGACAGCTAAACTAGATGCATACCAACCAGTGGAGCAAGCAGGCTTTCGTAAGGGTTTTAGCACTATCGATCACTTGCAAACAATTCAGACCATTATTAAAAAAACAATAGAGTACAATATACCACTACATCTGACATTTGTCGATTATCACAAAGCATTCGACAGTATCGAAAAATGGGCTTTCTTAACAGCATTGGACGACGCCAGAGTAGATTCAAGATATGCTGCCCTCCTTAAGAATATATACGATGATGCTACTTTTCACGTAAAAATAGATGATGATCTGGAAACTATGAAAATAGACCTTGGCATAGGTGTGAGACAGGGCGAGACCATCTCACCCAAGTTATTTACTTTGGCATTAGAAAATGTTTTCAAACAACTAAATGGGGCCGAAAATGGATTAAAAATAGATGGAGAATATCTTAACCATTTGCGTTTTGCAGACGACAAATATAATTAATAATGAATCTCGACAAAACAAAGATATTAAGCAACAGCCTAGAAAACATCACGATAGATAACATCAATATAGAAAAGGTAGAACAATATATATATATATATATATATATATTATATATATATATATATATATATATATATATATATATATATATATCTAGGACATGCAAATAAAAACGAAAAGGAATATCAACCCTAGAAATTAAAAGAAGGACACAATTAACAATTATCATGGGCTACTTTTGGTAAGTTGAGCTTCATTTTAAAAGACAGAAAAATCCCAATTCACTTAAAACGAAAAACCTATGACACTTGTATACTACCAGTTGCAACTTATGGATTGGAAACTATGGCAATAACAAGAAAAATGGCAGAACAATTAAGAGTAACTCAACGGGCCATGGAGAGGGCCATGTTAAATATAAGCCTCAGAGACAAAATTCCTAACACCGAAATACGTCGAAGAACTAAAGTAACCGACATCATGGGAAAAATAGCGACATTGAGATGGCAATGGGTAGCACATGTAGCAAGACAAGACACCAACAGATGGTCTTATAAAGTGACATTCTGGAGACCTCGAGAAACAAAAAGAAGCGTGGGAAGACTTAAAAAGAGATGGATAGACGATATAACTGTTGTAGCTGGAAAGCAGTGGATGAGAATAGCAAAAGATAGGGAAGCGTGGACGCAATTGGAGGAGGCCTATGTCCAACATTGGATAAATGAAGGCTGAAGAAGAAGAGAAGAAGAATATACAAAAATAATAGTTTTAAACGTTTTAGATCACTTGCTATATGAAAGTTTAAATCCAGCGTTTGTTAAGCTTATTTCATATGTCTCACATTTGTTACCAAAACTCAAAACTAAAATTTCATGCTATAGGTTTTGAACATTAGGTAGGTAGGTTTGAAGATTGATCCAGTAATCGAAACTTAAGAGAGGTTAATCAATGAAAGGTATAGATTGCATTGATCTCGATAATTATAAAAAATGGCACGAATCGCGCCACGTTTATTTATTAAACACCTTCATAAAATTTAAGTTTATTTTCAGCAAAATGCAAAAAGTTCATATGAAAGCTGACCTCTTCACCTTTAAAAGGCATCATGATTTTTGTCGATGGGACACTTGAGTCAACAGATATCGAATTTTTACCGTAGAGCTGATAAAAATTTTATTGAAGATTAATTTCGCGCGCCTAACTGACATTCAAAATCGACAGTCACTTCAAGCGTTGTTTGTTAGAAAACGGTTTATTCTACACAAAAGTGCTAATAAACATTTTTGTTTAAAATTATCTTAGTTACATTTTTTATTTAAATCATATGTGCTCGTCTCAGCATTTTACTGTAGAGAAAAAAAGTAATACAACGCCAGTATAGATGCTTCGCTTCAAAAAAGTAATGCAAAGGCCATATAGAAACTTTGAATTAAAAACTAAAAAGATTAACCAATATAAAAACAATTTGAATTACATTTGATGTACTTGGAAGTTCTCCTACGTTTTGAACTATATAAAGTTCTTTAAACATTTTTTGGTAATCATCAAATATCAATTTTGGTTCCGCACCCTCAGCGTGTAAGGTAACAGCTCTTTCTTTGTGAAAACCTTTTGCCGGTTCGGAAACTGTAATATATATTACTTCTTCGTGAAGTCCTGCATAAGTAGGTTTATAGGTTACTTCTACTTCCGCGGTTGTTCCAGGTTCTACTGAACCAGTTGATGAAATAATGGTAAATTCTCCTATATTTAGCACAGTTTCTTTGGCTTTTGCACTAAAACAGAAAGAAGTCAATGATGTATTGTTTAAACATAGGCAGTGACTTTATAATGTATATTAAAATCTTAAAAATTCTTGAATAATCATCCTTTGTTATTATTGCACCGACAGGAAACTCAACAGACGAGGAAGCTGAATCATTTTACGAGAATCTGACAACAGCAAGGAATCAAGAAAAATCACACTTCGTAATAATCACAGGAGATTTTAATGCAAAAATTGTAACAAAAGAAGAGGACGATACACAATATATCCGTCGCTTTGGGCTGGACAACGGGAACGAAAGGGGTGAGATGTTGTACAACTACTTAAACAACGAAAATTTAGTTTGTCTCAATACTTTCTTTAAAAAATTTAAAAAACGTAAATGGATATAAATCAGTCCAGACAAGAAATATACGAACGATATAGACTACATACTGTCCAATAATAAAAACATATGCTCCGACGTGACAGTACTAAACAAATTCTATACCGGGAGTGACCATAGATTGGTTAGAGTAAATATTCAAGTACAGACGGGAGTAGAATGAAAACAAACTTATTAAACGAGAACGATACCCAACCACCGGTGTCCTATTTCAAAAACAAACGGAATACCAAAAAGAGCTAAGCACAAGAATAAAATCAATAGAGACACTGAAACAAATAGATATAAACGGACTAGCCAATAAAATAAAAGTAACTGTAACAACACGGTTAAGAAAATCTGCTCAAACACGAAAACAGCCAAAACATCTAAACTCCAACCTGATACAATTAAACTACTTCAAGAAAGACGAAACAGAACAGATCGAACTTCGGACAGCTTCAAAAGTTTAAACAAAAACGTGAAGAAAGAAATTAGGAACGATTATAGAAACTATACTAACAATCTAATAAAAGATATAACACAAAATAACTGCAATATGAAAAAATTGAAAGCAAAAAACTCAAGCGACATAACAAAAATCATAGAAATAAAAAATGAGAAAAACGTCACCGTCTGAGACAGAAAGGAACTAAGCGAGGCCATTGAAAAATTCTACACTAAATTATACTCGGTAAATACACAACCACAACAACGACGTATTGAACGAACAATAATTAACACCGGCTCAGAAGAAATACCGGACATAACCGACTATGAAATAAAAATGGCCCTAAATCAACTAAAAACGAGTAAATGTCCGGGAGAGGATAAAATTACAGTTGGAATGTTGAAAATTTGTGGCAGAAAAATGGAACACGTAATAAATATTTTATTTAATAAAGTAAGTGATGAAGGAAAGATTCCTCAAGAATGGTACAACTCA